CTTGCTTTCACCCTTACTTTCCAGGCGGCCAACGCGTCGCTAAACTTGCTCATGGCACATTTGTTTATCTTCTTGATTGCCGGGTCTTTATCTGGATCGGTATATTTCTTTTCATCCCGGCCCGAGAACAAGAATACCTGGTGCATCTTTGTTAGGAGGGAGGGCCTCATATTTTCTATCTTCCCTAGTTTCTCATCATTGATGGTGGCGGTTGTCCGCACGATGCATCCTATTTGGTTGCAGTAGCACGACCGTGCTTCCACAGGCTCTTTTGGCTCAAATTGCTGTCGTCCACCTCCGTGACCACCACTCTAGTAGTGCTGAGCTGGTTTGGGCATCGACATCTCCTCTTCGGTTTTGGTTCTATACCGGCTTTGCTAGTATCGGTGCCGGTCTGGTTCTCAACGTCAGTCTCGACGCTGGTCTCGATGTTGATCTCGGATGTGACATGTGGGCCCAGCAACAACAATCGTTGATCATCGACAAGGCTCAAAAAATCATCCGCCGCCAGGTAGGCGTCGTCGCAATCACCAGAACCCTGTCCTTCATCGTTGCTAGCCATATTTCCTATGATTAAATCTAGTCAATTAATTCTAGACCTAATAAAATGAATAATGACATAAAAATAAAAAAAGGCCTATGTTTGCAGGAACGTTGATTCCTTCCCCGTGCGGCAAATCCCGGGCACTCGATATGTCCTAGTTTGTAGCACAAGTCATGCCAAAATTCATGGAAAATTTTGGCATGACCTTTGCTAAAAAGTGGACAAATCGAGCACCTGAAATTTGCCGGAACGGAAATAAATCAACATTCTGGCAAAACATAGGCCACTCGGCTTCATTCCCGGGAAACAACAAAAGGCCATTTGGGCACAATAGTAGATAAACATGAGCAAACACTATTGAGGAATTTGTATATAACATGACCACTTCAAATTTGCATCTCCTAGTGTTTGACACTTCAAGAAAATCTACACAAATCTCCTAGCATAAACATGCACAACACATTCTAGAAATTTATATTTTTATACTGAATTTTTTCTCTAAACTAAACCCTACTACCCTAATTAACATCTAGTTAAACCCTACTTCCCTAGTACTTAAGCATCTACAACAACTTAAGCTACTAATTTCATTTATTTAGTCATTCATTTAACTTCACCTAATTAACCTAGTAAAACCCTAGTTCCCTAACTAAAAAACATCTAATTAACATCTAGTACCACTACTACCCTAACCTAATTAACATCTACTTAGTTACCTAACCTAGTTAGCTAACCAAATTAACATCTACTTAGTTACCTAACCTACTTCCCTAACTAAAAAACATCTAATTTACAGTACCACTACTGCCCTAACCTAATTAACATCCACTTAGTTACCTAACCTAGTTAGTTAACCAAATTAGTTAACCAAACATCTAATTAACCTAGTTAGTAAACCAAATTAACCTAGCTAGTTCACTTAGTTACCTAACCTAGTTAGTTTACCTAAATTAACCTAGCTAGTTCACTTAGTTAACCTAATGAACTAAATTCACCTAAGTTAATTAATCCTAGAGGGAGGGGTGGGGCTTACAGAGAGGAGGGACGACGAGGAGCAGGGGCGGCGAGGAGTGGATGAGGGTGGCAGGGGGACGAGGGAGCAGGGGCTCCGGTGACGGCTCTGGACGAGGGTGGCTCCGCGAACGCGCGGCTCCGGTGGAGGCGATGGCGTGTGGCTCCGGTGGCGGCCCTGGCGGCGACGGAGGCAGGGTGACGAGGGAGCAGGGGCGGCGAGGGAGAGGTTGGGGTCTGGCGAGAAGAATGCGGAATTGGGGGAAGAAGGGACGCCCGGGAAGCGGCAAGTCAAACTTAGTAGTAGCGCTTTTACACAACACGCACTATAGCTAAGTTACTTACGTATGGCGCTTTTAGCAGGAACACGCTTCTGCTATGGATAAGTTAGCTATAGCGCGTGTTGGGAAAATGCGCTATAGCTAAAGTAGCTATATCGCTTTTGTAAAAACGTGTTGCTGCTATTGCTTTCATTTTTTCTTTTTCTTTAATTTTCCTTCTCCTTTTTCCTTTCTTTTTTCTTTTCTTTTCCTTTTGTTAGTTGCAGCACTGCCACCTTAAAACGCGCTGCCACTATTTTTTAGCAGTAGCGCGGTTTGTAGAAGCGCGCTGCTACTATACCAAGCCTGGCAGCAACGATTCTGGTCGTCATAGTAGCAACACGTTTTATGGAGAAGCGCTACTGCTATTTTTGTAGTAGTAGCGTGTTGTTTTGTCCAACGCTACTGCTAATAGCGCTTTGATTTAACAAGCGCTAGTGATAAGTCTCTGTGTATAAGCTTTTCTCTAATAGTGTTACTTTTATCTTCTCCCTTGTTTTCTTCTTCCTCATTCTTCGTTCATTCTTGTAGTTGCAGGGCGGCGAACCTCGAGGCCCTAGGGGCGATCAGGTCATCCTAGGGCAGCCCATAGCCGCCACGCGCCCTGGCGGGGTCCCTCCCGGGTGTGTGGGGTTTCGGGTCTACAAAAGCGCCCACCGGATTGCTTGCGTACCGCGTTTCCGGTCGGGTCTTCTTCGACATGAGCTGCAGTGCATCACCCCCGGCGTCGAAGGTACACGGTGACATGTTCGTGTGTTAACACGTAGGAACTTCGACGGATTGAAATTCTTACAATTTTTTCCCTATGTTTACTGTTTGATTCATAGGATTCAATCCTATGGACATTTTACTAATTAAGAAATCCTCTATTCCACATTTTGTAGGATATTTAACATTCACTCCAACCTCTCCGAAATAATCTTTTTTTTATGATGCAAACAAACAAATTGAAATAAACCTAAATCCTGTACAATTGGAAGGAGCATGACCTAGCAATCCTACCTTTTTCCTATTCCCACGATTTGAGAATCTTGCAAATCAAAGAACATTTGAGTAAATATTGTGTGTTTTTGCGTGTGCGTGTATATCCTTTTTGGGGGTTTCCTGTCCTAACGTCCTCCCGTGCCAGATCTTTCAAAATACACGATATTAACAATTTAAAAACAATTCCAGAATTTGCAAAACGTCACTGCTCTAAAATTGGGCCTCCCATGTCTAATTATGTTTTCACCACTGACTTTGATTCTACTCGTGCTTCAAAACTAGATACTGATTTGATATGTTTGACAGCTTCATTCTCTTCCCGCAAAAAAAAGACAGCTTCATTCTCTAGCACATACATTTTTCATAGTTTATATGCATTACTGTGCTTTTACCCTTATGTTTACTGAACTGTTTTTATTCTACCATATTTTGCACTATTTTTAATGCAATTGCGCACTAATTTCTACTGCATTTTACACTAGTTCTAGTGCACTTTTTAGACTCTTATTTTATATTAGTTTAACCTGTACTTTCAAACTAGTTTTTAATGTATCTTTTAGAGTCGGATGCATTTTGCATTAGTTCCTACTTGGATTTTAAACTAGTATCTAGTGCACATTTTGGAGTCTACTGTATTTTTTACACTAGTTTCAATTTTTTAATGCAAAATGTGTACAATGGACCATATTGTTTGTTCAAGCCCAATCATATTTAGCCCACCACATGTCTGCATCCACTACAAGCAAGCAGGCAGGTAGGAAAGAAAGAAAACAAAGGAACTACTAATGTTGTTAAGTTTTAAGCACACCCATGATTACTCTTATGGAGTGTTTGCTAGTTAGTAAACTAGTGAACATTACAGTAAGAAGCCGCACCCCCGCATATTTTGGAATAAAAGATGTGTTTGCTTGTATGCTGCAGAAAATAGAGAGGGTGTGCAACATCAGCTTTAAATATTGTGTTACTCAAAAAAATTGCAGTCCACTGTTCCTCCCACCAATTATCATATTGGATTGTTCCAAAAGTATATGATACTAGGAAATGCGTCTTTTGAATTTCCAAATTTACTCCGTCTTTCTTGAAGAAAAAAATATATTCATCTGACAATGCTTAAACCCGTGGACTCTGGGCAGAATGGTAAAATTAACCTTCTACACATGTTCGCAGCTATTGCACTTTCATAATTGCCACATTTTTGCATTGGTACTTTGGCAATTGATGTTTTTGTAATGTAATTTGAAAATTGAATGTCATTGCAGTGGCGCTTTGCGAATGGCCCTGAAAGAGGAAAAAAGGAGTTCAATTTTCTTTTGAGAGAAGAAAGTAGAGTAGAAAGTTCAGTTCTTTTCACTCATACAAGTTCCCAAGTTGTGCACTCTTTTTATAAAACCGCGTTAGAAATCTGGTATAAGACTTTTAAACATGGCAAATCAAACATTTTTCTGGCAAATTATGTGCCGCGAATCTGGTAATTCCCTTCGGCAAGCACGGCAAATCCTGTCATGTTCAGCTTTTTTGTCAGGATTTGCCATGCTTGCTAAAGCGAATTGCCATGCCCATGACACGCAATTTGCAATAAAAAAGTTCGATTTGCCATTCTTAAAAATCTGATGTTATGTTTTTAGCATTTCAGTTTATAAAAATATAGTATTTTTTATCTGAATTTATCTTGCTAAATACTACCCAGAACTCATCAGGAAAAGGATCAGAGTCAGAGATATATACAACCTAATGATACCATACAGTACTGCTTTCTCTTTTTAATAGAGAAATGGGGATACGAACTTTGTCAGTTGATGCACTGTCTTGAGATGATGATATCATACACCGATAACGCAACAAAATCAAATGCTAAGACTCACATAAGGTGTCACTTTTTCTACAGGGAAACCAATTGCACTAGGTAATTGTACAATTCCATGTATGAAAAGGTGCATCGGGCACATCAGGGTACCAGAGTATCATTCATTTTCTATTATAAAATGAACAAAGCAGTACCATTATAAAAAAGTGCAGCAGGCACAACAGGGTACCAATATAATCATATCAATTACAATATGAATCAACCAGTACGATTTTCATCATATAAGGTTTTCCCCCATACAAGTACTTCGATGTCTAGGCATGAAAAATTCTCCATGTTATGCCTCAACCCTCTCTCTCAACTCAGCAATAAGCGCCGGAAATTTTTGGCCCAAGAGCACAAAACTTTCAGTTAACACAACCTTGTTGAAATCTTTGTCAGCTGCTAATAAGTCAATGCACTTTGTCTTCAACTCCAGGCAGCTGTTCGTCTCTGCCAAATCTAGAGTAGTTGCAATGGAATCTAGTGACACATTCTCCCCTAACTTTCGGGCGCAGATAAGCTTCAACCTATGCAGTGCGTACTTGTCCGCCGCGGCAAGCAGATGATGAAACGTCTCAATCGGTGGAGAGCGCCCAACCCTGTCATCTCCAGGCAAGGCATCGGTGTACATGAACTTAAGCAAAACTTTGAACGTCGCGGGCTCGATGTCGTCCAAGACGATGTTTGAAGATGTGGCCCCAGCCTCCGGGCCGAAGAACTTGGCTCTGAAAACCGGAGAACGGGCAGCAAGCACTGCTCGATGCGCATGGAATGTCTCACCATTGGTGGTGAATGACACATCTGTCCCGTCCATGTCCATTCCATTGATTAGGCTGTTAAGATGACTTCCTATTTTTGGGGGTGGCACGGGGATTGGGTCGTCACGCATAACCAAGATGTGGCAGAGGAATGTGACTCGGCCTTCAATCACACATTTTGCCTCCAAATCTACTCGCTTGACGAACCTAGACCACCCATGCCATAGTATGTCGTCCTTGCTACTATACACAAAAACTGATGACGTTGCTGCTATCGGAGATGGTTTGCCATGCCTGCCCATCACATTGGCCTTGAATATGGCCCTGACAGTAGTTACGGGTTCCCTGCAGTAGAGGTAGATAGAGAGATACTTGCCATTGTTGGCCTTCACCCACCCACGCGGGTAGCAATGTATCTTCCAGTCGTGCCCACCGGCGGAGATGTAGTCGGAGTGGACGGACTTGCCGATGGCTAAGTGCTTGGTTTGCTCGTAGTTTACTGTGAACTCAAGCAATGCAGAGTCCACCACGGTGGTTCGTGCCACCAGACCAGTAGTGCGGCCTCGCTTGCTCACTGAATGTAATAATAGTTAAAAATCAGATCACATTTCCTAGAAGTACAATTTAGGTGAGCTCGGCACCTATTTTGGAACGAACAACTGAAAGAAAAACGTAAGACGGGGGAACTGGAAAAAGGCGCAAGAGGGAACTCACTGTCTTCCGTCTGGGCTTGCCGCTGCCTAAGTTCGCCGGCGACTCGGTCCGGCGTCCCCCCTTGGCAACAACCCTTGGTCCTCCTTTGGCGGGCACCCTCCACGACCTTCCTTTCGCCTCGCCTTACGGCACCGGATCGCCCTCGCTACGTGCGATGCACGCGCCGCCACTGCAGTCGTTCTCTACTTCTCTAGGGTTCGCCGCGCTGTCGCACGCGAACGTTTTTTTTTCTGGGTGCCTCTTCGATCTTTCTCTTTTCACGAGCTCGCTTTTGCCTTTTTTTTTAGCGAAACGAGCTTGCTTTTGTCGTTTGAACGGTTCGGCCCGTGATTTAGGTGGGCTAGCCCACGACCTAGCGTGGGTGACTCCAAAGTTCGTTTTTTCAAAAGGCCTCCAAAGTTCGTGGACTGTCCTCCGTCACTGTGCGTCATGCACGACAACGCGAAGTTCTTATCTACTGACTGATATTTGGGAATGCCTTCGGACATTGATGCTTCAAAAAGTGGTGCCTTCAAATACCTAAAGGACCGGCTTTGGAGTAAAATTTAGGGTTGGATTGAGAGCACAATGTCCACGGCAGGAAAGGAGGTATTGGTTAAAGCAGTGGCTCAAGCAGTGGCTGTGTATTCTATGTCTTGTTTTAAACTCTCAAGAGGCCTATGTAAGCATCTTAACATGCTCATAAGGAAGTTTTGGTGGGGCAGCAAGGACGGGCACCACAAACTGCATTGGGTTTCGTGGAAGGAGATGACCCAACCGAAATCTATGTGGGGTTTGGGTTTTAAGGACTTCGAGCTTTTCAATATGGCAATGTTGGCGAAACAGGCCTCGCGTATCTTACAACAACCTGAATCTCTAAGTGCTCGGCTGCTTCGAAGCATTTACTATCCAAACACCACTATATTGGAGGCGACTATAGGTAACCATCCGAGTCAAATATGGCGGCTATCCTGAAAGGAAGAGATGTGATGAAGCAAGGCTTGATAAAGCGTATTGGCAATGGTCAAAGCACAAAGATTTGGGAGGACAATTGGTTGCCTAGGGACGAAATGCTTCGACCATATGGATGTATATCAGCAAACCCTCCGGAACTGGTGTCTGAATTGATAGACATGACATCGGCAACATGGAATATAGAGCGTGTGAGGCAAGTGTTTATGCCAATGGATGCCGCGGTGATCTTGAACATTCCTATATGCACACAAAATGTGGAAGACTACTGGAGCTGGAACTTTGAACGCTCGGGCCTGCTCACCGTGAGATCGGCGTACAACACAACAAGAAGGAGAAGGGAGGCTTGGCTCGAGGGTACAACCGGGTCCTCAAGTTCAAACAGAGAAGATGGATCATGGAAAAGGTTGTGGAATACTCAGGTACCAGGGAAAATCAAGATGTTTCTTTGGCGGTTATCAAAACACTCTATTCCGACGGAGGATGTACGAGCTCACAGACATATGTTGAATACAAGCTCGTGCGCGCTGTGTGGAGGACCTGATTCGTGGAGGCACTCGCTCCTAGAATGCATGGTGGCAAGGTGTACCTGGGCACTTGCTAACGAAGAGGCCATGAACAGTCTAATAGCAGCCGCTGGACCTAATGCGAAGTGTTGGTTATTCTCGCTGATGGAATCGGTATCACATGCGGAGTTCATTAAGATATCAGTAACACTTTGGGCGATTTGGTCTTCGCGAAGGAAAGCAATTCATGAGGGCATATTTCAAAGCCCGCAAAGCACGCACTCTTTTATTCAGAGATTTTTGAGTGACTTGGAAATCATCAAAGAAAGGATCTCAGGCCAAAGGAAAATTTCAACACCTCAAGCGAGTAGAACAGCTCGCTCATTAGCACTACCGGCGGGATCAGCCAAGATTCATGTTGATGCTGGGTGTCGTTCGTGGGGAGGCACGGCAGCAGCAGTGTGTCGAGATGACCTTGGGAACTACCTTGGGAGTTCTGCAATTGTACTCCGAGGCTTCACAGACCCGGCTACGCTTGAGGCAATCACGTGCCGAGAAGCGCTAGCACTGGCAGAGGACCTGAACATCCATCGGATAGTCATCTCATCTGACTCAAAGCAAGTGGTAGGAGATATAAAGTCTGGAAACCTGGGAACATACGGTACGGTTATCAAGGAGATTCATAGTAGAGCTCTTCATTTTATGTGTGATTCCATGTATGAATGCCGCAGATGTAACATTGAGGCTCATAGTTTAGCAAAACATTTACTCTCTTTAGGCCCGGGACGCCATGTGTGGCTAGGCCAATCCTTTAACCCAAGATGTATACCACAAATTGTGGCTTTTGATCATTAATAAAGCTTGGGTTACCCCTCAAAAAAAATCTACTGACTGATACCCCTCAAAAAAAGAAATCTATTGACTGTTGTTTGTCTAAAAAAATCTATTGGCTCATGTGCATAGTTAAGATGGTTATGCAGTAATACGAAATACCATTCAAGTTCACCAGTAACAGTCATGATTTATGTACCCTATTGTGCTTTTTCAGTGTTGCTTTGGTTAGGGCATCTTCGACGCCAACCCTTAAACTGCTCGCATACGTCTAGACTGTGCTGTCCAGACGTATTGTGTTATCTAACGCTGGTGTATCAGTTCACTGAGCTGTCAGGACCTATTTTTTCCCGTAAAACCGGGACAAAGTTGGAGGCCTTTGTCGAAGTCCGGACAACAGCCACATAGGAC